TTTTGTGTCAGTTTGTAAATTCCAGTACTAACCAAAAACAAAAGGCAAACTTTCACTTTTTTCCTTTTCCTGCCTAAAATCTTTAGTCCCCACTAGTGTCAAAATTCTGAAATCATAAAGTCTCAAATTTCTGTTATAACTGAGGATAGACAAATCAATTTAGTTCCCCACAAAAGACTATTTATATAATTATTTCCAAAATCTTATAGTAAAAGTCCTAATATTCCAAACTTGTCTGGTCCCTTAATTCATTTATAATTTTCTTGAATCAGAGTCTTATTTAGCATTTTGCTGTTTATTTCTAATTCTTTAAATTCTTAAGCTTATAGTTAATTTTTATTTTATTCAAGAATGTAGGTAAACTCACCAGGTGGCTGTTCAAACTTGTTGTTCTGAAGATCTCTATTAGCCTTAAGATAGTTAAATAGGTAACTTCTGAAAGTGCTTAGAAAGAGAGGCTAGCGAACCCAGTGTCCATGAAAAGCTTTGTGATGGAAAACTGGTGTCTTGCAGTCTCCTCACAAGAAGCAGCTGTCCAGAGCACATGTGGGTAATTTCCTGTCCTCTCCTTATCCAGAGAGGTTCCAAGGAACTGGTCCACTTGCCAGTTCCTCAGTCTTTGCCATGGTCGTCATCTCTGCTCATTCAGAGACATGCTAGTTTGCCATTTCTTCCTCGGAAGTCATAAAATATTTGCATGTTGATGACAATTTAGCACAATCCTCTTGACTTCCTTTAGTGGTTTCACATTAAGAAATACAGAGGATAGGATAAAACATTATGGCACTGATGCCACCCAGAGTTCCTCTCACAGTAACCCTGTAGCTCTTAAGCCACATCTAGGCAAATGACCCCCCCCCCCAATAGTATGGCCCATGGTATAACATGTTGCCATGAGATCCCTGAGAACAATAGGATTTAATGTCCTAAATCCATGTCTGGACTTAGTCATCCACCAAGATGACCAAGAGAGCTTCATGACAGAATTTAAAAGAGTCCTGTTTTTGCTAATTATCTTATTTTCACATGCATGCATGCATTTATATATGTACAGTTCCTACAGAGAGATGTAGAAACAAAGATTAGTTGCAGGAAGTGTGACATGCACATGCACTGACTTATGTCCTGTGCTTCAGCAATTGGGGAACAGCTGTTTCTAAAGAAGATAATTAGCAAAAAATAGTGAATAATTTATTCAAAGAATATAAATTCATATTATCCAATTTTATTGATGACATACACTCATGCATATGAATTAACATGCCAGCTGTCTAGTACATGGATTGATAAAGTGTTTCCAAGAATCCTAGTGCAGAAATAACAAGACAGATTGGCGAAGTCAACATTTATGAAATTGGGAGTTGAAGAAAGCACCATGAAATAGCAGAACATAGATTTCAGAATATCAGGGAAAAATGTGAATGCTGCGGAAAAGATAAACTGCAGGACTGAAATGAATAAAAGAGGAAAAAAGAAGAGAGAGTACTTAGTGGCATAGAGAGAAAAGGAATGAGTAGCAGCCGCCTTGAAGCCTGCAGTCATTTAGTCTGTCTTTCTTCTAGCTATGGTCTTCTGTGGTGTTAGCACACACCCATTGGGAAACCCAGACATTTGCTTAGGGAGCCACAGAGTGGCAGGTGGAAGTGGGCTGGCAGCAAGTGCAGCGGCTAACCTCAGTTTGTACTACTAGGGTGACCACTAGATGGCAGCATACAGATGCATAAAAGATTACTTCATTGCTGCCCTCTGTGGTTGCAGAGATTCTTGCAGCCTAGATCTGGAAGCATGTACTGATGAACTGTGCCAGTACTGCTCTCCCTGTGAAAAAATGCCCCAAGCTGCCACAGTGGCCATTCTTTTATGAGAACAGCTTCTGCGTGCAGGCAACAGGCAGCAATACAGGTCTGATTCCTTGAATGTAGCCTTTGACTAATGATTAAGTTTGCTTTGGGACCCAGACACCTCTACTTATGCTCTTGGTTGAGCTCACATAATACACTAAGCTTAGATTGTTTAACCATGCCTTACTGAATTAAAAAGTGGGTTCCCAACATGTGCTAAAACTATAAACTATGGTTTAATCAATTCCAGGGGTTAGGTTCACACAGCATGGTCAACACCAAACCAACCACTGCATTGTGGCTTAGCAAGTTATTTGAAGGCAGCCAGAGTATCAATTGCCAGAAAATTTAATCTCTGATATTCAGCAGGCAGTCAAAACTCTGTGTGCACAAGCTCCTTCTGGACCAGTTGAAGCTTCTGGGTGGTCTTCAAGAGCAACCGCACAGAGAGAGTATTGCAGTAGTTAAGCTGCAAGGTGTCTAGGGCACAAGTAACTTTTGGAAAGGGTACATCTGGTGCACCAGATGAAGGTGTGCAAATGCCTTCCTGGCCACAGCTGTTATCTGCTCTTCAAGCAGGAGCTGTGAGTCCAGGAAGACTGTCAGATTGCACACCATCCTTGAAGGGGGAAGTGCTACCCCATCCAAGGTCAAAGATGGAATATCCCCAGATCTGTGTGGCCCAAACACCCACAGCCACTCAATCTTGATAGGATTGAGTTAGAGACTTCAAATCCACAGGGCCATCTTTTCAGGCTATCACTAATAGGAATTGGAAAACAGGATGACTTATATATCCTGTTTTCTTAAACTTAAATTCTGGGTAGTTTTAACCAGAAATGAACCAGGTTCAGACAACATGCTTAGCCAAAGAATACCATTGACTATAGTTAGGGGGTATGGAGCTATACAGGAGAGGATTAGGATGGCAGACTGTGTGTCCCCATTAAACAGCCAGAATGGTTTTTCGTATTGTACAAATATGCATGGTATTTATAATAATATTTGTATGAGGACAAAATATATATAAATTGTGTAACTGATGAAGTGAGTACAGACCAAGAAACGAAGTAGTTTCAAGGTGCTGTACTAAAACATTTAATTCTGCACAAGGATTTTGCCCCAGTTCAAAACTGGACTGGTCCAATCAGATGATGTTAACTCTGACAATGAGTCAGCTTTTTCTGGCACCAAGCCACTTTATTTTAAACTCTGAGGAAAGTTACCCTATACAACGCTGGAGATTGTGGGAGGTCCATTCTCCCACTGGCCTCCCCTTGGCTCAAGTGATCTATTCCTTTTCAAGGCAGTCATTGGAAAAAAATGCAAGCAGTCTAGCATTTTGCAAGTTGGCTGGTCTCCTGGCAAAGAGAAGGGGAAAGAACTTGTGTCAATTTCACCCTGCAAGGAGTGCAAGGAATTGCAAATGCTGAAACAGTCCAGCTAACCCTTGGTTGCATTTTAAAATGGAATTTCTGGTGTCTGCCTGCCTTGTTTAGGACTGATTCCCCCCTCTAGCTACTACAGCAGCATACCGCTATAGCATACTAAGTACTGGGAAAGCACCAACTACAGAACTGCCAGTACTGTATGAAGTCATTACATTTTTAGATACTTTTGTATGCAGCATAGTGAATGCAAGGCAGCTTGGATTTTTTCCATCACAGCAAGCTGGCTGGGCTTGTGGGGAGAGGGAGGTGTATTTGTGGAGCACTGACCCTTCCTTCCTTCCTTCCTTCCTTCCTTCCTTCCTTCCTTCCTTCTCCCCCCCCCCCCCCAGGACTTTGGGGCTGATGGGACACTGATTTTTTTGCACTTCTTTGTGGACAGGTGGAGGGAGCATGATTGACTTTGGTGATCACAACATACTCCCTGTGCTCAAAGAGCAGCAGCAGTGAAGACAAATGTGTTTCAAATCTGTTTTAGAAGGAGACAGACAAAAAATGATGGTAGTGTAGAAGGGCCCTTAGTTTTTGAAGTGTTGAAATACTTTTTCTTTTTGCTCCCAGTGGTGCTATTAGGGATGAATCAGCATTGGATCAGAATTTCTCTGACAGATCCCACGCAATCTTGGGTATCCCTCTTATTTCTCCTACTTCCCACTCCATTTGGATATGTTTCCCCCTTGTACGCTTCCCCTCCTTTCCCTTCCCACTCTGAACAGCAGCAGACAGCTTTTGTTCTTTTTAAATTTGGATATGCTGCAGGTTAAGCTGGAATTGCCCTCTGCATCATTTCTTCAGGGATGCTGTTCCATTCTTTTTTAAAAGGTGTGTAAAGCTGATTTGGGAATGTTTTGAGGTGAAAGTCTTGATTCTCTGCCTAGTCTTGCCCTATTCTTAAACTAAGCAGCATGGAAATTATTACAAAATGACGGGATTCAACCATCACGCTATACTATGGCTTGCTTAAAATTATATCGAATAAGCCACATTTGAATAAGCACACTGACACATGCTAAATAGAATCAAGGCTGTGTTCACAAGCCAAAGCCCTTATTGCTCACTATGATTTATGAGCACAGCTTAAAAATGGCTAATTGCTTGATTTTGCTTATTAAAATTGTCTACCTCATTTCTATGCGACAGGCTGGGTTTGTCCAATATACTAAACTGAAGTGGGCAAACCTAGTCAGTAGGTTATTTTGTGGTTCAGTGAGTTGTGAGACCCCAAGCAACTGGATTAATTCAGCATACCACGCGCTGGCGTTTTATGTTAACGCAGCCCCTGAGACATGAATTGCTTCTAGTCTAGTTGTAATAACTCTCCAATCTCAGAAATGCAGCGGTGCAATGCACGGACGGAGCGACAGTACGCGTTTCTTGGTGTATCAACTGGAAATACAAGGGGAACGAGAAGACATCCACGAAAACGAGGCACATCTGCGAAACTTAATCCCAGTCTAGACAAAACTAGGCAGCAAAGGCACGGCGCATTTCCCGCGCCACTCTCCTTCTGAGGACTATTCTGCCCCGCAGGAAGAATTGCACGCTCCTGGCCACGCCCCCTTGCTCCCCGCGGGCAGGAATCGCAAATGGCGGCGAGGCAGGCGGGGCAGAGAGCCGCTCGAGACGCTGAAGTCTCGGCTCTCCAGACGCCAGGAATCGAGCGCCGAGAACTTCGATGGGTTCGCAATAAATGTCTCGCTGTTATCCAAGCCGCCATTTTAGATGGCGAGAGGAGAGGGAGGCTTCGAGTGAGGGAAGAGCCTTCGCGGCGGGGAAGCGGCAGCACCCGAGAGGCGGGCAGGTAAGGCGCCAGTTCTGCGTGCGGGGGGGCGACTTTCGCGGCCGGAGCCCTGGGCGGAATTGGTTGGAGTATGGGACGCTTGCTGCTGGCTCGAGAGTATGCGGGTACGTGTGTACGGTACGTAATAGCGGGGCTCGGACGGGCTGCGGGAGAAGGAGCCCCCCCCGCCTGCAGCTCGGGTTCTGAGTTTCTGCCTCGGGCGTCCGCGAGGACGGCTCGTGCTGCCGAGGAGCGCCGAGAGGGAAAGGTGGATGCGTCGGGGTCGCCTCGGGTTGAGCGGTGGGCTTCATCCCCGCTCTCAGCTTTCTTCTCCCTCTTGCACGGGATGCCTGCTTCGCAGCTTCTCCGCGAAGGAAGGCGCCCCAGTGGAGGAGGCTGGTTTGTTCCCCGTTTGCCTTTGCCATTTTGGGCTCGCGCTCGCTCTCTCGGGTTCCTTCCTCATTTTCTTTTCCTCGGGAGGGGGAAAGAGCCAGAGCACCAGCCTGTCCTGCGTTGCTGGCGGGCGTCGGAGGCACCTTGTCTGCTGGCGGCCGGCGCTGCGATGCGGAGGGACCTCCGTTTATTGACAAGAGCAGGAATGGATGCTGCTGCTGCTGCCGCCGCCGCCTCCAGCCAGCTGTCATCGGGCAGCAGGTTGGCGCTCGCTGGCTCTGCGGGGCTGTGCGGAGCATCAGAAGCGTCGGTTCGGCGGGCGTCCAGCGGGACTTGCGAGCGCCGCAGGATCCCCCTGAGCGAAACCTCCGGGAGAGGCTTTTGAATTAAACCTGCAGAAGGGATGAAAACTCATAGCTGTTGCTCCGTTGGGAGAATGAAAAAAGAGGCAGCTGCGGTTTGCCGCAAGGAGACCGAATAGAGAGGGAGTTGAGAAGCTGCTCTGCAATTTCTTGGTGTAAGGCTGATGGGGGAGTTGTGAAAACTGTTTCGGCTGTGTGGAAGTGAAACGTTTTGGAGAGAATTTATTCTTAATTCTATGGCTGTGATAATTCTGGGGATCCTAAGCGACGTGCCAGATTGCCTTTGTTTAGCCTGCTCAGATTTTCTTGGTCATTAAGTGGCCCTGATTTATGAAAGATCAAAGAAAGTTAAGTAATACAAACCAAGCCAGTGATGGTAATATAAATAGGTTTGCCTTGAATAGTCTTGAGTCTTTCTTTTTTTTTTTTGTAGGGGTTGGGAATCCGACTTGTGTAAGTAGGAATGTTACTTTCTGCTAATAGCTCAGACTGACCAAGATTAAACTAAACTAAATTATATTGATTTGCATGAGATTTACTTTCAAGTAAATCTGTGTATGATTGTAGCATGAAAAACAAAATGGACTACCTAAATAACAGTGCTTCCAGTTGAGGCTTTTTAAGGAAGAAAAAAGAATAAACTGCCTGATGTCTTTTCATTTGAAGCTCTAGAAGTACTGTATTCACATATTTGATGAAATTGTATTTTAACTCATGAAAGGTGTGTTTTTCATCTAGGTGGGTTTACACATTGTTCTAAGCCATGATTTGCTTAACTGGTTTGTTAAACTGTACATTGCAGGGGATGCAAAATAAGACCTTTAATTGTGGCCAAATGGCTGGATTCATGTTGAAGACTAACTCAAAATGGAACAAATCACATTAAAACTTAGTGAAGTATAGTTAACCAATTTGAGGAAATAACTTAATAAGTACAGCTGTTGGTTATTGGTGTACCTCTAATCAAGGCTACTTGCTGTAACATGGGTACTTGTGTGGCAATTTAATTCTAATGAAAATTTTCACTTTCAGGCAAGATTCTAATTTCAGGTTGTTTTGGTTGAATATTTTTGGTATGTTTTTGTTTGAAAAGCTGGGCTTTTTGGTAACTAGCGTATGTTGCTTTTAAATAGAAAAATTAGTGCAGTTGATGCAGTTATTCATTGTAAGACCCAACTCTCCTTAAACATTAAAAGTTATGTATTGTAGTTTTGTTTTGTTTTGCTACTATATTTTTTTTCTTGGCAGTAATATAAGTAGCTGACTGGAGAGTACAATTATTGTCAAACTAATTAATGGAATATATTGCAAAAATGGCCATAATAGGAACATGTCTAACTGCTCCTCTGAGCAGTGTTGAACAAAGCTATCAAGTTTATTTTCAGTAGTACATGGTTCTGTACTGTGCTATTCTTTTTTCAACAAGCCCTTTGTAAGAAGCTTGACTGTTGTATGAATAGAATAGAAAGTATACATAGGATCAAAATTAAAAATTGAAAAGTTAACTATCAACATTTTTTTGCAAGTTAAATCAGTTGTATCTTCTGAACAAACATTTTGTTGGGTGATGGCTAAGCCTATGTATTAGGCTTTTCAGTGCCACCTGAGTGTGTGTGATGACATGGCTGTTTATGTTCCAACTTGGTGTTCCAGTACAGCTGTGGTGTAACCAAAATTGCTTGAGTACTGGCAAATTCTCATAAAACTGTATCAATTAGCAATGTATTCCATTCACTGCACATAGTATCATTTAAGAACATTTGGGATGTCTAGTATATTTTTAGATTGTGAACTGATTGAGGTTGGTTCACTGACTTGCTGGATGGGTGTGGTGTTAACAGTAATTAAATTTGTTACAGGATTTTAGACCCAAGGGATTTTTAATGTTGCATTAAATGTTGTAATTTTTATCTTATCGTTGGTTTTATAGGATATATGGATCAAGAAAACATTTTTGCTAGCTATAGAGTAGGTACAAATCTAAGGATGCAACAACTTAATAGAGGAAGAATTATATCTTTTTGGTTAATATTTGTTTAGTATGGATTGGCTTAGAAAGTATACAGTACTTTTACATGTGTATGCTGTATTTATGAAATAAGATTTGCACTCATTTTTTAAATAAAGCGTAGAGATGGTATCATCGTTTCATAAGGCTTCCTCCTTAAATAAGCATAGAATAAATCAAAGCTCTCTTTTTAACGCTTTTTTTGCTTGCATTAAGATGTGTATCTCTTTCATCCAATGTTAGCAGCAATTCCAAATATCTCGAATTATTGTATTGTGGTAGAAAAAAGACAATTTTTTGTTGTTTCCCTACCTTGTTTTGTTGTTTCCCCACCTTTTTTTTTTCTTTTTGCACTGTTCAACACTGTGGGCTATTTCGTAGTCACTTCTTTTCTTTGGTGGTCATTTCCAAAGTAATCTATTTTAATACTTGGCTTGGCTTTTTCTTCTTTTGCAGTGTGATTCTCTGAATGCAGGCTTGTACTGGATTATCATCCTGACTCATATCTTCTTTCAGTTTGGATATTTGTAGTTTTCCTCTCTTTTGCAGATCACCAAAGTGAGAAACCAAGAATCTCTCTCAAAGTTCAAAATAGTTGCTTGGAGTTTCAAAAATGGTGTTCCTAGAAGGACACTTCCATCATGTTATTACACCCAAATAAAACTTTGCCTTGATCCTAATTGTATTGTAATATCCTTGCATGCATTATTTAGTTTGAAAAATCTCCCTCTCTCCAATGAATTTGGCAATGAAATATTAATAGGGCAGTGGGTATTTATGGGCAGATAATTTGGGATCTTTGAGTTAAATGGTTCAACATATATTGCATTTTTAAAAGTTCGTCTCACTTCCCCTCTCAAGTTTTTCATTGTAAATAAGGAATTGAGACATCTCTAAATACAGTGTACATGATAAATCTTCCAGAATGTCATGTTCTGTTTGATTTTGTGTTGTTATGATCTTTACTATATTATATTTAGGAGGGAATAACAATCTTTCAAAGCCAGTTTCATAGGAAATATTGCCGGGGAAATTG